TTCTTCAGTATCTAACATGTTAGAAGAGTTGTAATGGACATTTGTAATTACACACACGTAGCATCTTACCCGTCATTGTTTCCACTCCAGTTTTTGGATGGACTTCTTTATGATGTACAAACGTTTACGTGATAGACGGTACCTTGTTGAATTTCACTCAGAAAAACGCCAAAATAAAATGGCATGCACGCGTCCCTAAAAGGTATTAATGAGTCAAGTTTTTTTACCACCTCTTGAGCATCTCTGGCTGCCTTAGCATCATCTTCATTGTAGCGATTGCAGTTGTACCTGTAACATCACCAGGTTAGAACCATCTATAACTGTCACTACTATTAGACATGACCATCTTTAACTGTATATGCTATGAGCTCTTACCAGGCAGAGCCATGGGGCTCCCATGGACCCAGGCAGACCCAGCAGAACTCAGCTTTGCAGTTCTGGTTCCGACAAACCATGTGATTGCAGCCACCATCTTTCTCAATGGTCACATGGCATTTTGGACACTCCTGTCATGAGAGAAAAATAATGAGTTTTGCAAACAAATAAACAGAAAAAAGCAACAATAAAAAGCTTTAGATGTTAAAGTTTGAGAAGCAGTTTGTTTTTTGGCAGATCTTTTAGAAGTCTAGAGTTGTGTGACATTTTTTGTATAGAAGCCTGATGTGTAGGGCCAGGATACATTCAATCTAATCATGGGCCAGCAGCCGTCCCGGCTATCAACAGTTGACCATTTAAAAGTGATGAAATGTATGTACACCTAACTAAAGGGACTGTACAGTCCTTCATTTTACCACATGTTCAAAAACAGATTGTTCAGTATGATCAGATCAGTATTTCCACAATTAAAATGTCTTCAAGATCATGCAACTAGTTACATGCCAACACAAGCCAGACACACATCTTTGATTCCATACCTTAGTATTTGCTGCAATCCAGTTTGAAGTTTCACTGTCATCGTCACATTTCTTTATCCATTTCCTCAACCACTAAAAAAAGAATACAAATAAGAGATATTAACACAATGAATGCTAATCTTGATAGGTTAATAGGTTCAAATGTCTGTAAGTTGTATAGCCTTTCCCGATTAGCTTACCTTACACTTGACAGGATCATGCCAATTCTCTCCACAGTTGAAGCTGCACCAAGAGGAGGCAACACGATATACATTTAGACAAAGCTTAATAAGCGAGCGTCGCTAGCTGTTAACAACTGTCCAATACACTCAATTCTAAACAAGCCATCTTACCAGAACTGACGGCCACACTTGCACCTCACTGGCTTGGCATCTGGGTACTGGACTTTGACAACATGATGGCAGTCTGGTGCAGGGCACCACTTTAACAGTCGATTGCACTTTGAAGGAGTAATAGAAGTAGAAGGTAGGGGTAGAACATCAATCTGTAGTTTCATGGATGCTTAAGTACAAATAAGGTCCCTGCATTTCAAAATAGTGCATATAGTATAAACCTAAACCTCATAAATCAAGGCTTCATATTCCAATACATCATACTAGGGATGCTCCGATCAATCGGCCACCGATCGATATCGGCCCATAATCACTTTCTGCTGATCGATCGGTGCTCTCTATAAAGGCCGATCGGGAGAGTCGATCACATGACATAAAATACATGACACTTTTCTCTGTGCGGGCAAAACAAGCTCACCAACATGGCTTCACAGTCTGACAGTAATTTTTAAGGTGTCCAGAAAATGACAAATAATATAAGCGGTATGCAACGTGTGTGAAGCAGAAATCCTGCAGCTCCGCGCCGCTGTGACGGACCGGGTGAGCGGAGCGAAAACACACACTAAGAGTTAGACCTAACACACTTAAGCTATTTATTACGGTCTGGAACAAGCTAAACTAGTTATAAATATATTTATTCTTCACTGTCGGGTAAACTCATTACTGATCAGCGAGCTGCATGAGACGATACTGACAGGCTGTCAGGAGGAGAGAAAGAAGAGGGAGAGAGAAAAGAGAGTGGCTTCCGCCTCATTTCTCTGTGTGTATTCTCCAAAGTTTAGATGTAAGACTTGAATAATGTAGCTTCATTTGAATGATGCTCTCT